CAACCATGACAAGTAAGGAGGACAACCATGACAAGTAAGGAGGACAACCATGACAAGTAAGGAGGACAACCACGACAAGTAAGGAGAACAACCACGACAAGTAAAGAAAGCAACCACGACAAGTAAGGAGAGCAACCAAGACAAGTGAGGAGGGCAACCATGACAAGTAAGGAGAACAACCATGACAAGTAAGGAGGACAACCATGACAAGTAAGGAGGACAACCACGACAAGTAAGGAGGGCAACCATGACAAGTAAGGAGGACAACCATGACAAGTAAGGAGGGCAACCACAACAAGTAAGGAGAGCAACCACGACAAGTAAGGAGGGCAACCATGACAAGTAAGGAGGACAACCACAACAAGTAAGGAGGACAACCATGACAAGTAAGGAGGACAACCACGACAAGTAAGGAGGTCAACCATGACAAGTAAGGAGGACAACCATGACAAGTAAGGAGAGCAACCACGACAAGTAAGGAGGACAACCATGACAAGTAAGGAGGGCAACCATGACAAGTAAGGAGGACAACCATGACAAGTAAGGAGAGCAACCATGACAAGTAAGGAGGACAACCACGACAAGTAAGGAGGACAACCATGACAAGTAAGGAGGACAACCATGACAAGTAAGGAGAGCAACCATGACAAGTAAGGAGGACAACCATGACAAGTAAGGAGGGCAACCATGACAACTAAGGAGGAAAACCACGACAAGTAAGGAGAGCAACCATGACAAGTAAGGAGGACAACCATGACAAGTAAGGAGAGCAACCATGACAACTAAGGAGGACAACCACGACAAGTAAGGAGAGCAACCATGACAAGTAAGAAGGACAACCACGACAAGTAAGGAGGGCAACCATGACAAGTAAGGAGGACAACCATTACAAGTGTAACGATTTCTTCTCTCCCTCTCTCTGTTACTACACCATTGGCAGTGGCCATAGGTCAGGTCGCCATTGTGTCGCGCACCCTGACAGGGCCGTTACTATCCTGTCCTGTACAAGTTCGATCACCGGGATCGCGACGTGGCAGAGCCAGCCAAACACCCGAGCGCCGAGAAAAAGGGGTGGTGGGTGCCGGTCGTCCAGTGAGGGATATGAAGGAGGGGGGTTGTCAGTCGTCAAGTGAGAAGTAAGAGGTAATAAGTAAGAAGTAAGTAGTAAGTTTATTATTTATTAGGTAACGCTTGCTATAGCCTTGCGTCACACATCTACCAACACAGCAACAGCACCACGCTCGCTCCGAGCCAGACTCGAGTCACCACCGTAACACGCGAACTAATAATCACTATGTGCGATTTAAACACCAGTGCCTATACATGACAAATAAGGTCGGATAACAGACCACTTCGCTATACTGTAGACTGTCTAACGAGCGTCGTGGTCACGGTGGCGACACATGGTGTACAAAATATGCGAAAGCTCGGTTCGCGGGGCGAATGCAAATTGTTGGGGAAAAACCTGCGATTGTCAGCGTTAGCTTCTGTAGTAACGCAAGTGTAAGCTCACTCACAACCTCCGACCGGGACAGCAAACATGCGAGAGTGCTGCGTCGTCGTGTCCGCGTACACTCTCCGCACACGCCAGCTATATTATTACACCATCAGTATACAGACATCAGCTAACAACACACACAGAACACTAATACACTATGGATGTCTCAGTCGGACATATTCGAAACACTCTGGAAACGTACCTATTTCATTCCGACCACACTAGTACTGTACGCGCACTACGAAGATCTGATACCACAAATCCCGAACACTCTAGTCATGCATATGCACTATTGATATTGGACACATTGTAAACACAGCTGCTCTCCCATAACCTCCGGCGTGTCTGTCCTTTTCCCCTCTTGTTGGCAATTTTCTGGAACTCTCATCGCAGAGGGGTACACACAATGGTTCATTGCAGGACACCCCACTAGCGCTATCTCTCGTGAGATAAAACTATAAACGGTATAAACTGTAACACCCGCTACAGCAATGCACGATTCTAAAAGCGAATCTGCTACACAAGTAAGATAGGCAACCATAACAAGTGAAAAACCGTGGCGTGTAAGAAAGGCAACCATGACAAGTAAGGGCAACCTGGATCTGGATCTGGATAGTTTACTGCGTAGCCCATGGTTAACCATGACAAATAAGGAGAGCAATCATTACAACTAAGGAGGACAACCGGTTGTCCTCCTTACTTGTCATGGTTGTATGACAAGTAAGGAGGACAACCACGACAAGTAAGGAGGACAACTATTACAAGTAAGGAGGACAACAAAGACAAATAAGGAGAGCAACCACGACAACTAAGGAGGGTGACTGTAACAAGGAGGGGCGGCGGCGGCGGCGACTACAGCCGCGCGTACTTACGGCGCTCGCATGCGACGGCTAACTCAGCCTCCGGCTGCGCGATCAGCTTCTTCTGCCACAGGTTGAGGATGGAGTCCGCGATGATGCGTGCGGTGCTGTGCTGGTAGCCACCGCTCGTCAGCATGACGATGGCGATCGAACGCTCGCGCGCCTTCCTGAACACCAGCTCATCACGCTGGATGATGCCCTGCACAGAGAGAGAGAGAGAGAGAGAGAGATGATGACTCACCAACTCGTACGTTACTGTAGTGTATAACCCTGAGGTTCGTTTGGTAGTCTGCTAAAACATATGCACTGTAGCGCATTTCACGCCCTCTGGCAAATAAATTAGAATGGCAGTGTGAGCAAAATTTATTGTCTGAGTAATAATCTGGTTAAATGCGTCAGTAAAGTATACAGTTACGTTTATTTACAATTTTCGTTATTTTAGGAGCAGGGCGAGTCAGTGAGGAAGCGACTGTAAAAAGAAGGGGCGGTGGCGGCAAAAGCGGCTGTCTCGGGTTTGAGACGTTGTCTCGCATTTAATCCTCATTTTAGTGCTGCCTGCCAAAGTTCCTGGCATGATGCATTCGTTTTTCAATCCATACTCATGCGAAGCCCTGCTTCCTCAATCCTAAACCTAATTGCAACTCTACCTCTAACACTAGCTGAAACTGTAATAAACTGCATTGACTTTCAATTCCATCCTCGCCGCCATTTGTCGGGGTACCGAGAGGCCAGGCTCGCAGCAAATATTGCACCCAAACGCAAAGTGATGTGTTGTCAGGCGCTTTATTAATGTTAATGTGTATAACTAGCCTCAGCACCATATGCGCAGATTGATAGCAAACCAAAAACCCCGAGATCTCAACCATCCCACAAAAACAGCACTGACGGACCAACTCGCTTGGAGCACATCAGAAGCAGAATAAACTGCATTCTTGGTTAGCCTCACAAACTACAAAACAGCGCAATCTCTGGAGTGCCACACGAACATGTCTGTCGTCGACCGTGACACGAAAGACAAAAGGCTTTGTCTACAGAACTTTTCCTCGTGGCGAGTGGGCTGCTGACGTCACATACGCTAACGCCACTTGTCAGTCAGTTATCGCGTTGAAAATAAAACAACGGCAGCCAAGGCCCAGATTTACATATGCCTCGTTAGCATAAATCCTACGAAACATTCTGTACTTCCACACTAACCCTAAGTGCAAATCTAACCCTAACCTTAAACCCAACTTCAACTGGAACTCTAACCTTAAATCTAACCCCAAAGTAGCAATAACTCTAACCCTAACCCTAATTGGAACATTAGCCCCAATGTAGTGGCCCTAGCGGTGCCGCAACTGGATTTTCACACGTGCTATGGTTAACACGTGTAATTTGTTTGATTTTGGATCAGTTTTCGCTCCTACCATAAAGACAGGACGGTGATGCAGTAGCAAGAAAGCATCTATAAACTAGAAAGGGCAGTTGTCGCCAACTACATGTATCCCCCGTGATCTAGTTAAGTATGAATGAAATATCTCTGTAAGGACGTAGAAGGTAGGTAAAGTTAAATCAGTCACAAAGACAAAGGTTTGTTACACAACTCATCTGCCTGAGATGTGCAAGTATGTTAAAATTGGTTGTCTTAGGGGCTTTGGTACGCTGCGCACCTTCTCCCCAAGATGTGTAAGTATACGAAGTTTGGTAGCGCTAGGTCCATTAGGGGCCGAGTTATAGAGCGGAAGGGAAATATGATCAAGGTCAAGGTAAAGGTCAAATAAAGGTCGTAGTGACCTGGTTTTGGTACACAACACACCTTCTCCCCAAGATGTGTAAGTATACCAAGTCTAGGTAAAGGTCAAATAAAGGTCGTA